CACGGTATCGATATTGTACGTGAAAAATGAAAAAGAAAATGAGTTTATACGTGCACCGAACGTACGTATTAAAGATTAATTGTCTTTCCTCCTATCGATCCCGAAATTTTGTCCTAACCACCTGGAAACCAACGTACACCTGGTACGTGGCCCGTATAAAAGCCAGCGCACGATATTTTCGAGGCCAAACACCGAGAACACAATGAGTCGATTGTACGGTTACGAAGGAGCTTTGGAATGCCACGGAAACGTGCACTTCGACTTCTTATCATCCATGCTGCAACATCGCGCGTATCGACCCTGTCGGCCATTCTCGATTCGTGTCGGTTGAATCGCTAAAAATAATCCCGACCTTTTAGACGGCCTGTCATAACTACCCTGGCAATCTGCGCAATAAAACAGTTGGGCGAACCGTTCGGCGCATTGAAACGCGATTATCGCCAGGTTCACGATGTTGCCGACGGACAATGGTGCTTCGTTCGTTCGGGGGAAACGTCACGTCTGCGCGCGGGGCCCGCACCTAAAGTACAATTAGAACGATTAGAACGGTCGCTGGAACGCGATCGTCCCGATCCAGTTAGACGATGCGTCGAAACGAATTACGAGTTTACGAAGCCGAAGGCATTCTCGAAGGGAAGGAGAGACCGACGGCGTACTCGTAGTAACTTCGAAAAGTCGCGCGATAAAGAAAGACGGTGAATAAATAAAAAGGCGAGCAGCGGTGTCATAACCGGTCAGGAGTACGATGAACCACTCGCCAGAGTCCCGGGAACGACACGGAGGAATGGGACATACCATCGCCGCGCGTCGTTAATTACCACTTTCACCCGATGCTACAAACTATTCGTGGGCCGCGGAAAAGGAACCATCGGAGCCAGCACGAGCGATTTTCGGCACTGCCTGCTACCTAGCCGGGGCCTTATTGTGGGACCCTTGGCTGCCGACGTGGTTGTTACCGGCTGTACCATAATGCCTTCAGCCTCGCCAAACTAGACGGCAGACTGGTTTTTGCCCAATTTAGATCCCCCATTGTTCGGCCCAGCTTGGAATGAAAATAGAGAATTCAACACGGCCGTATCCTGCCCGCGTGTTGCGTAGGAAAACACGGATAAAACGAGCGTATTAGTGCTCTTTCGGATGCTGCCTGATTACTACCCGATACGACCGCATATTTCCATCGCTTCGATCCTTCCTTTTGTTCTTCCTTTCCTCGTCGTATTTTATTACCAGCTTCTTTATTTTTATCCGATACCGTATCCTCGTCCTGGGAACGCTCGCGATATTTTTCACATTTTTCTAAGCGGTCTTTGGATAAATAAATAATTCAATTTCACGGGGAAATATACGATATACGTATTAATCATTTTCACGATTAACCAAAAGTGAAGTAGACCTGCAAGAGCGCTCAAACCTTCGACATACCGACTGTGCAGTACCGACTGTCGACCAAAGGAACCTGTCTTATCGGTTACAGATTTTCAAGTAAACTACCTTACCGATAGTAGGATCAAAGTCTGCTCTTTTTAAACTTCGTTGTGAAATGCGTTCACGATCTCGTACCCTAAATATTTTTAATTCTACAAGATTCCATCATGCAAAAATTAATGTGCATATTTTGAAAGAAAATCGGAGGCACGTAGGATAAAAATTCAAAATAAAATTACAAAAGATATTACCTTAATTAAACAATTTCTACGGTCGATAAATTATTTTCCATTTTTAATTTCGCGCGAATCAGATTTTCTTATACGACCGTGCAAACTTATAAAATGCCGATAAAGATCTTTCATTACGTTCGTTCAAATTTAATTTTCGACACAAGTGATTTCCACTGTACTTAACTGTAATCCAAATGATCTAGATGCCAGAATGCCAATACCAGCGCGTTACGTTGATACTGGAATCACGAGAAATATTAGAGCCAAGGAAACTTATCTCGAGCGTGACGTTGGAATGATAAAGACATAAAGTAACACGGCAATTTGAAATATATGTGGTTCTTTGAACCGATAAGAATAATGAAACAATTTTCATTCTATTATTCTATCCCGGATGAGGATGAGTTACTGACCGAGTAATTTCATGGATACTTGCCCAAGAGGCTATCCGTTATTCAGAAGTGCAATTTTAATTCTCTATACGCTTTGTATTACAATGCAGACAAAGCCACTAAGCTCGTCAAACTTCGAGGATAGGAAAAGGTGCGCCCGTATTACGTGAGGTCAATGGGAAAACAGACTTTATTCGTCGAACACTCTCCGGGAATTTTAAACGGGGCCTTAAAAAGCCTTATTCGGGACGGAAAAAACGAAAACGAGGGAAATTTGCGAACACAAGCCGAGCAACCACGCCGACCGCAGCAACACAGCCAGATACACGCGTTCGGCTTTCGTTATTTCGATACAAATTTGCGGGAATTCGATGTGCGCTATGTTTTTATCAGGCTGGTAGCGTGAAACGCGCGGTGGCGAATGAAATTGAACATTACGGTGCAATTTCAGAAGAGGCAACGGCACGTCGCCTCGAAGATCAATGTTGCTCGACTGATCGAGGAGGTAGCCCTGCGCATTCCAGTCTGGTTTTACCATACCGAGAAAGAAGAAAGAGGAAGAAGAAGAAAATGAAGGGTCGCAGCTGTACAGCAACGCGAGAGCATTACTTCAGGCCTGGAGGAACGATCCAGACGTTTCGAGGAGGCTCCCCCTCCGCGAGCTTTATACGCCTTGAATTTTCCTGAATTTTCATGAATTCCTGAATTACGACGATCAGGCGAAATATTTCCCGACAGATCTACGGTTATCACTCCAACTACTCGCGATTCGAGCGATCGTGCATCTTCGAACGACGAACGATTTCGGCGTAAAGAAATAAGAAATTTCGCCAACGAGAACGAAGTATCTTTATCGATTACGAGTTCTAAGAACATCGTCGAAGAATGGTACGATATCTCGAAATAGGGAGCTATTTCATCGTCCTTCGCTAATTTGATTTCCCATAAACGATCCCAGAGATCTCTAACGAACCCTCGAAAAGGGTGTCCGCAGGAGTGCTGACCTGTCCCGACGTTCTTTACACCCGATGATCATTTATCCTAGACTCACCGTTCGTGTCCCCCTGCGTCAGGCCGCCGTGTGCCGATTAATTATTATCCAATGTAATAAAGAGAAAAGAAGCGCGGGAAATAAATAAATGTCACCGATGATCGATTAATTTCTCGCATTTTGCGTTCTGCTTACAAAATCCCGTTATCCGCTCGTGCATACGCTTTGGCTCGAGCATTTCGCACAATTACCCGCATCCACCGAGGAAATCGGTCGATCGATCGGTGCCCTGTTTCCTGCGATTTTCCTGCGATTTTCCTACGATTTTCCTGCTAGAAAGGGGAAGAGGAAAATGCAGAAACGGGGGAAAAGAAAGAAATGGTTTCCCTGTTGCAGCGGTAAAATTGAAAAAAGGAAGGCGGCGCAGGTGGGAAATGGACAATGTCCGCGCAGCTCGGAGAACGAGAAAGCCGGACAGGTAGATTCGCTTGGCTGAAGAAGCTGCAGACGAGGAAGAAGACGGCGGAGGAAAAAGAGAAAAGAGGAAAGACGAACGTTGAAGACGCACGAGGTCGCGAGTCGGGACGAAGTTGGGAAAGAGCGGAGTCCCGAAAGGATCGAAAGGTAGGTCGAGGTAAAACCGGCCGTGAAAATGGAGAAGAAAGAGAAAGAAGAAGGAAAGAGTTGAAGACGGAGAGTAACGCCGGGGATAAAGGTGGAGCAGGATGGAGAGAGAAATTTTGACGAAGAGAGGGGAGAGCAGGAGTCGAATGGACGGTAGAGCCCAGCACGGTGGAAACGAGCCACGAAGACGTGACGTATACACTCTAGAAGAGTGTAGTATAGTGCACCATGGTGTAGCATGGCATAGTTAAAGTGGGAGAAACCGTGTATGACCGTCCTCACCGTAAGCCAGTCCCGTGTGAACGACCGTGAGGCGAACCTCGAGCGAAACTCGACCGAACCTTGAAGGTTTTCGTCCAGTCCGCTCGATTTCGGCTTCCAATTTCGCGCAGGATCGATCCAACGAGTCGATCCACCGACACGAAGGATCGTCGGGCGAATCCTGGCCGAAAAACGTAGCTCGAATCGTGGTACGATGATCAGGGAGTCGAATAATTACGCCAGCGAGTGGTAATTTTGTGCAAACTCGTCGATCCTCGGGCGGATTTCGTGCGACGGGATTTCGGCAAGTGTACTGAGGGATCGGTGCAGTTGTGTGTCACGGGATAAAGTGATCGACGGGGACCTGGTAAGGACGATGCGCGAAAAATCGGCGAGCAGGTGCGATACAGGATGCGAGGGAAAATCGTCGCGGTGAGAGATACTCCGTGATCGCGCATGGTAAAACTCATATGGTAATTTCGAGGACGTCGGACGTTTCTAAAATCCGATTTCAAGTGAAACTTTCAGCCTAATAAGGACACAGCGCGTATCTCCGTGCGACATCGGCCCGCATCGCGAGGCATGGCGAAACACTGGCACGGCACGGTGTAAGTGCAGAGTACTGGAAAGTGGCGAAGGAAATTTCGAGCCGGAGGTGTAGAAGGTAGTGAAAATAAGGTGTCGGGATCGGCGGCATAGCACATCGGCCGAAAAGCAAAGGCGAACACCGGACCTATCCGCGACCAAGTAGGTCAACCGGCGTGCGCGAGAGTGCGAGACCGAATAAAAGAGAAGAAAAAAGTGATCGGGGGAAGGATAAGACGAGGAAAGGAAAGAATGGTGAGACGGGGGCATTAAAGTTTCCACGATGCTCGACGTTTTTACTCGGCATAGGCTCGCGATCCAAAATGGCGGCGATCGGTTGGTACCGTGGCACGTTTTGCAACGATAGAGACTGGTCCAGCCACGAGCACTCTTGAAGAGATCCTTCAAAGTGTCCTTGACATTAACCTGACCTTGATCAGGACGAGCAATCGCGGCGCACTTTGACCGCAATACGCCAAAGGAATCAGGATGGTAGGCCACGCGGGGTCGAAGGTCCTGGTGACCTTGTCGATCCAAATTCTACTAGGTAAGAGAACAAATGCAACCGTACTCTTTAAATTGCCAATTTATCACGCGAGGAGAGATCGCAACGGTTGATTAAACTTTTACGGTCCTTGTACGTAATTATCCCGCAGGTCGAACTACTCCTACGAGATAATTTGCTATTCCGATTGCGACGATAACTTCTGGCTTTCCTTCTACTTCCGTGGAAATATTCCCGGACCGATTCGCGCGTCCCGATGATCGTTATCGGGTAACAATTTTGCGGCAGGTCTAACGTCGCGATGCGCAGATATTAACCTCGACAATTGACGCTAGCCATAAGACGATGCAAATATGCGACGAATTAACGCGTGAACCTGTTTGATGGGCTTTTCAACCGGCCACGTGCGGTCGAGTTTTAAACCGGTATCTTGACCTCTGTCGAAAATCTCGTGACGTCCCAGCGGCAAGATCGGGAAAGATAAAAGGCTATGCACTGACTTCCAGGCTAATAATCGTGTCGCCAAACCTGCTGGCACCTTTGGGACCGCCGTTTAACCTTTCCAGATATATTTACGCGTTCAACTCGAACGACAACAGGCTAATTTTCGTCGGATCACGAAACTCGAAGAATCGGCTATCGCCGATTACCAATGAGAATTAATAATAGCCCATGATCCATCGTCTCCGATGCGCGATGCGGATGTGCAAGTAGGTATATATATATCCGGTTCCGCGTAACTTTGCACCTAATACCGACCCAAGTGTATAAACGATTCACGACGAGAACGTTGGAAACGTGACTTAAAGACGCGACTACAGCCAAGCGAATATCGTGGAAAAAGGAAAATCAAAAGTTCGACGACCCGTCGAGAGTTAACCTGCTTATAAATATTTAAAAGTGGAGTAAAGCTCGAGATAATTAACTTTTTACACGCACTGAGAGTCATAGATTTTCCGTTGAACGCGTTAGACTGATAAAACCCTGCTAATTGGAGAGGAGATAGAGAATCAAATTAACGAAATCTCGAGGTGTATCGCCACGTCGTCTATAAAACGAAACACACGTCACTGGCGCGTTTCAGAAGCGACAGAGGAGAAAGCTGCAAGCATGACGCGCATTTGCGTTCTGGCACGTACCTGTTACTCCGAGATTTCTATGTCCCAGGCTAACGTGACTTCACGAAAGCGTCAATAAATATCTACGTTTCTCGTCGTTTGCCAATCACGATCTTCGATCCTCTCCACGCTGTAGAAACGCGAATTATTTATCGAATCGAGAGAAAGAGAGAGAGAAAAAAAGGACGACGAACGGAAGTCGACGAGTTTAGATGCTAGCAACGAATCCTGATCGCGGTTCATCGGCCTATGCAAATTTCGCGTCTTTCGGGGTTTAGGTGCGGTTTAGGTGATCGTTAAGGTCCACGAGTCATCGACCGCGATCCATCCAGCCTGATTAATCGAAGCTCTCCCGAGACTCGCGATTGCCATTAATATTTCATCTCCTTTGCACGACTCATTTTTTCCCGTTTACGAAACGAGAGGAATTTGCATGAGCCGTCCTAACGTCATCGTCAACGCGGTTGGGCAACGGCACAAAGGAACGTATCCGGGACGGAGTTTCGTCACTGGACTTTCGCCCAAGCACGTTAGTCGTGAAAGTGTCACGAAATCGCGTGGTACACGGTGGAACGGAAAGTCGATTGGTTCGTCGTTCGAGATTTCGTCTCCTAAAGGCGGAACGAAAAGTTGCCGGTAATATTCGCGACGGGAAAGCCGGTGACGCTGGTCGGAGCGACCCTTAGCCTCTCGGCCACGCGAATTCCTCGATCCGTGGAACCGGTTGGCGATCGATAAATTTTCCGCCACGCGATAAAGTAATTCCTTTCTTGCTCGAGACTCTCCGCTTATTAGACCGCGCGTGGCCACGTGCCGGTAAACAGATGCGAGCGAACACGTGGCGATAAGGGAACGTGGATGGCAGACCATCCGCCATCGTGGCAGACGATCGAAAATCTCGGCCGATTTAAGCGATTGCTGCTCGAGAGCACGTGTCGAGGATCGAACGGGTCAGGACACCTGTCGAATCTCGTCGCGAAGGTACCAAATGTCGCGTTTACCAGCGAAAAGAATAAATATTGGGCTGGTATGGGGTACCGTTAACTCTGCCGTTACCGCCTCGAGAGACGGCGCATAGCTCGGTCTACGCTTCCACGGATAAACCCCTTCGACGTTTCTTTCTTTTTCTTACGAGTCGTGTTAGACGCTGTTAGAATTGCGTCACGGGGTCAAGCGATACCACACGCGGCTCTAGGTAGCTATACGTCAAACCAGCGCGTTCCAGCGAAACTCGCCATTTCCTGTGGTCGTCGTCTCGCTGCATCGGCTCTATCGATTTCCTCT